ATTATTATTATTATTATTTAGTGAGAGAGAATACTCCACAGATTTAGCGTGGCAGTTTTATGTAAAAAACAGTCTCAAGGTGGAGGTTAGGTATTGTACTCAGGATTACTTTATAAGTCAATAATCTACAAGTTGTCCTTTTAGTCAAACACTACAGCAGCTTATTTCAGTGACTTTGCCCATATTACTGGCTAAAAGTCTGTTGAACAGGATGCTGACATTTCCTCAAATTCCCACAAATTTTTAGCTCATGGTAGTAAATACGTTTCTCACCCGAAACTCCGGAGGGAGAGGTGTGGTTGACGGTGTATCGGTGATGTCATCTTCAGGGGGTGTGATGCGCAAGAAGTCAATGTGTTTGGGTCTGGAGGGATGAGAAAGTGACCTGCAGAAGGCGAGAGACTCCTCCACCTCCTGCTGCCAGATCTTCTCCTGCCACTGCAGAGCCTCATCTGGAGAAAAGGGAGTCAAATCACAATTAGAGCAGAATCAGTACAAGTAGCATTTTTGCCTGTGATACAGGTCTGTTCTTTACAGACAGCATCAACAGAATGAAATCACACTGAATCTGACAATTTTAAGTTCTGATTTGGGCAACAACACTGAAAGCATGTCAGATATTAAACAGGAACATATAAAGTATTCAGTGTAATAGACAAATAGACTAAATATGAACACTAAATCTACTGTATTTCAATATTACAGTATCACAGTCACAGCAGTTGGTGCATGTGCAAGCTGCTTTTAATCCTTTTTCTAATTATGAAAGCAAACACTCAAAATACTTTCCACACTTGACATTTGTTCACAGCTAAGACTGTAAAGTTGCGAGATCTCTGAAGGACTGACTGACTGCAGTAAATCTTGTGTGTTATGCTACAGTGTCACCATGAGGATATAATGCAGAACTTCAGCTAAAAATAAAGTTTTACAGTTTTAGCATTACTATCCCTTTTAGTTATGTACTATATTGTGTACATACGTTAGATGAGGGGTGGATGATTGACGAGGGGTGTTGCAAGGTTGACAGCTACTGATCCCCGACCAAATTTGCTTACTGAAAAACTATTAGTGCAGACTGCAGATGTCTGACAAGAGAGGTTTTGAAGCGACGTCGTCATTAATCACTGTAATTATTACACAAAACATGTTTTAAAATTAATTCAAGAAAACTGTCTATTTATCTATTTCTGTACAGTAGGATGTGAAGTTTGAGAATTGCTTGAATAAAGGGTTTAATTACCCCAGCGGTCAAGCTAAAAATGTACTGATGGTACTGTTGGATAAAAACATTGAGCTAATGCCAGATGTAGTCAAAGGCAGCTCAACCTTGAGAATCTTTCACTTCCTGCATCCAGATCGTGCGCATTTATTGCCTTGTTCACACAGCCCTCACTCCATCTATTCAACAGTAAATCTGTCAGTATCATTTCAGATAAGAGAGCCAACAATGATTCCACTTGTGTAACTTTTTAGTGTCCCCAAAGCCAGATTAAACAGCAATAGCAATGAGTTATCTGTCCTCAATTTGACCACACTGAGTAGAAAACTGGATTTTGAGAATAACCCTCAGAAGGCTCTGAATGTCTCTCTCCCTCTCACTCTAATCGTCATCCTCTAAAGATGTGTTGTATTTCACAAAGCACAGAGCATTAATCCTATTTGGACAGCCAAGCGTCCTGCTGCACAGCCTGGTCAAAGCTTCATTTCCTGAAAAGTGACGAAGAGACATCAGACTCTACACTGATCTGACTGCCTGCAAGACTCAATTCATCATTTCTATACATAAATGAGTTTCATTCCTTTATGTTTTTATTTCCCCTGAAGTTACTTCACATCGTGTAATACTGAGGCAAATATTCTAGCCCCAGACTCCATCATTTTATCAAATAGAAAGAATATCTTGTGCATCATTTTGTCTGGCCTTTTGTAATGAGCTTGTAATGACTTCTGCTAACTGAGGGATTAAAGAACCAGGTTTATTGCCAAGTAAAAAATAGAAAAATATAAATAATAAAAGATAAAAAAATAGAGACAATAAAAAGGACCCATTATATATAAATATAAAGAGTGAGATAATGTGTGCAAAATGCTGGTATATTTAAATAAATAAAGTAAATACAAGCCTCTCTCCCCACTGTAGCCTCCTCTGAGTAATGTGAGCACACACACAGACACACACACATACAGGCACACACGCATGCACAAATACACGCACACACACACACACACACACACACACACACACACACACAGTATCTCTGCTCTTTAAAGGGGAACTCTGGTCGTCTCAGGTCAGTGCCAAAGCATGACTATGAGGGCTATAGCCACATCAGGTGCTCAGTAGTACTTCATGCCTGAGCAAACACACACACACACACACACACACACACACACACACACACACACACACACACACACACACACACTACACACACACACAGACGTGGTGGTATGTTAAACCAGCAAGGGGTCATTATTTACAGACTAGCACACATCCTTCAGGTCTGCAGCAGCTGTGAGAGAGAGAGAGAGAGAGAGAGAGAGAGAGAGAGAGAGAGAGAGACTACAGCAGCGGATGAGACCAGACACCACTGGCCGAGTTCAGAGCTTTAAAATTAGAGAGTCTTAATCAATGTGTAAATCTGACAGTCAGGACTCAGCGTGTATCACCTCTAAAGCCGTCTGCTCTTCCTCTTCTGTTCACTTCACTAACCAACCACGAAAGCTCAATGTCATGCTGTTGCGCACACACATCCCTATTCACCCTGGAATATAGCTGAAAGTCTTTCTTAATCCACTTCACTGACCATGAAGCTACAAGACACAGCTATGTTATGCCCTTTAAAATACGTCATACTATCCTCCATACCTGGTAAACTGAATCTGAAACCAATCAATCTATTAAATTCTGCCTGTCATGTAACATCCTGTTGTACAAAATGTACAAAATTCCTACAAGCTGTTCAACTCTACACAGCTCTTTAACTCAGTATAGTTGCTGATCAGTTACAGTGAAATGTGTAACATCAAATCTTCTCTATACTTCTACTTACACTAATTCTACAGCTTGTGTGTCGAACTTCGATATATTTTGGGTGCTGACCTGAAGCAGCAACTATTAAAAACTGTACCGAAAGCTTGTATTACCATATTTCGCGTAATTTTTGTTGTCGTGCTGGACCATTTCTTTCTATACCTTTAACAGTGCACCCATCTCATCCTCCTCCCCAACCCACTCTGCATTCAACTCACTGGCTGCTGTAGTTTGAGGGGAGCTCAAAGACATTGTGTTACTGAGTTCTGCCAAGTTTTGTCCCACATAGAAATGAATGTGAAGCAAATTTCGTTCTGACTGCGTCATAAACAGTGATGCAAAAATATTTTGTTGATTAAAGTAAGAACAGAAACAGAGGAGCCAAACAGCAGAAATGTTTCTGTCTTATTGCCTGCACATCCACAATACTATCAGGCGCTTATTTTAGATACTGAACAAGATACTAATTTCATGTCTCACTCTAAAGTGAGTGCTGACATATGCCTAACCACCCCTATTAACATTGTCTGGCTCCACCACTGCTGTTATGCATTACATCAAACATCTGAAATCAAACCTTCAATGACTCAGTTAACTCAGAGGAAACCATCTTACCCCATGACCATTTAGTAGTATAGAAGTTCAGTCTTGACCTTGGAAACAGCAGTTCAGAAAACAATCCCAGAAAACATCTAATAAGCCCAAGAACAGCTACTACAATTGACCTTGAGGTGAGATTGTTTGGTTAGTTGCTGTTTCCAAGGTGAAGAATAAACTTTGATGCCAATGTGGACGAGGAATCTAAAAAACAACCCCATCTACAGCTCCAACAAACTCCATCTACTGATGAAGATCAAGTGTTTTCATGGTCAAGACTACATATTAAATCACATACAAATTGTTCTCGTAGCAAAAATTGCATTATTACCTGAAGAGATTAGATGATCTTGACTGGCCTCTGTCTCACTTGTGTATCTGTATGTCTGCGTCTGATTCTTCTCACTCAGCTTGAGGTTGGCCTGAGCCAAAGTTTTCCTTCTATTCTTCTGATCATTTCCTGTACCACCAGAGACTATGGTGGTACTTCCGTAGCCTCCAGACCCTTGAGGGAATACACTTTCTTCAGCAGAGATTATCCACCCTATGTGGCGCTCAGAGATGTCTTTTTCATCCTGGTCAGTCGGGTTCATAGGCCGATAGTGCTGGCTGGATGTGAATAGAGGCGACAGGATGGGAGACATGCCTTCAGTGCTGCTAGATGTTCTCGGGGGAACAAACAGAGATGATGAGGGTACAGGAGAAGTTTCTCCACCTGCTAAAAAAGAGGGTGGTGAAGAATTATTTGGCACAGCAGAGGTGAAGTAGGAAGAATTTGAAGATGGATTTAGAGGCCTTCTTGTTGATCCTACAAAGTTTGGCTTATAAGAAGTCTTCTTGGCCTCGGTGAAAGGTTCACTCGCTACTTTTGCTCCCTCCATCCTCAGGACCTGACGCAGACTCTCGCTCAGAGCTTCACCCAGAGCGTGAAGCTCTTCAACTAGCAGAGGCTTGTCTTCATTGTACTCCTTGTTCTGGGTCTCCAACTGGGAACTATTGTGTTGCTCTTCAGCAACACATCCACCTGAGATAAACTGACCCTCGATTCTCCCGTTGCTGCATTCTTTGACCCAGTCCGAACTGGTGAGACTCACCCGACGTATGATACCTTCCACCTCCTCAATCTTCCCCATCACTCGGTGTGCTGCAGCCGTCTTCCCCATCTCCTCGTACTTAGACTGAAACTTCTCTACATCATCTGCCTTCTTTTCCTCATCTGTGTCCTTTGCTGCCTTGCTGATCAGGGCTTTTTGCATATTCCTGGTATTGTCTTCTGTCAGATTAGTGGGGGAGATACACACTGAGTACACATCATTGTCATATTCAGATAGGTCTGTGTCTGAGTCAGGGAGAGCACATTCTTCCTTTACAGATAAATTCTTTCTGGGAGAGAAAAGGCCTTTTTTTTGCTGAAAGTAAAATTTGCAGATGACGCATCAGGTAGCTTTGCTCTCCATGTTGGCTTTAGCTCCTGTGGACTCCTATTCCTCTCCTCCAACAATGAAACTCTTTCTTTTCCCACAACTCTCTTTCTCCTGGCTGCAGGAGTGCAGATGATCTGCCTGTCTTCCTCCAAGTCCCAATCCCCAAATGTAGGAGAGCTCATTATCTGGAGCTTTGTCAGCCTCCTCGCCTTCGGAGGCACCCGTTGAGTCCCAGGTGTCATCTTGAGGTTGTGCTGAAAGGCGCCGGGGTAAACATGCCCCTCCAGTTTTCTCCTTCTCTTCCGAGGGATCTGAAATCTGGGGGATTTCGGTAAAGTATCCCGATTGTCTTCGTAACCATGACAGTTCGGCTTAATTTTCGTGCCCTGCTGGTTGCCCATGCTGATGAATGTCTGGCATTCCAAACACAACGGTAACAACTCTGTCAGCCAGCCGATCTCAGAGCAGTCATCCAATGCTTTGAGAGTTTTTTTCAAGTCTGTGAGGCCGAATTTGTCTGCTTGACCCTGCTTCACTGTTTCAGCTGGACCCTCCTCCTTGCAGTTAGAGGTAAGTCCTTGTTGGGGCTTGAGAGGGGCTTCAGAGGGGGAAGCTGGGCCCCTGCAGTGGGAGAGGGATGGACTCACACAGCTGCTCTCGCTGATCGGGATGTAGAGGCGTAAGGTTTTGTGAGTGTTCTCCATGATGTTATTTGATTACCACAGTTAATGCAGGAGATGGTACTTTTCTTTGGGGCGATTAGAACTCTCAATCAGAATTCTCAGTTTTCTCTGGACAACCAAATGAATCCTAACACAGAAAGATAAAAAAAGAATATTTCATGCTGGTTTTAAATGAGTAATTTCAAAACTGACAAAGATTGGTTGTTTTAGCTGCTCCAATGTGAATATTTGCTAGTTTTTTTCTGTTGTATGTGCAGTGCGTGCTTCTATGACATTGGACTGTTGGTTGGTCAAAACAAGCAATTGTTAGTTGCAGCCCTACACTAGTAGTGGAATGTAACTATAGTACATTTACATTTACTCAATTTACTTGAGTATACTGTGCTTACGGACAATTTTGAGGTACTTGTACTTGAATTATTTTATTTTATGCTATGTTATTCTTCCATTCAACTACATGTGTTTGACAACCTTAGTTTCTAGTTACTTTAAGTTGAGTTATATTATTAATTCATGTAATGTGATTAAGCCACCCAGTCGTACAAGTAATTAATTTTTTTTAAGTAATTAAAATGAGCTCCACCTTTACACATAAATTCATTAGTAATTATAATCCAATAATATAATATATATTATGCTATATGGTACATTCTGCATAATGAGTACTTTTAGTTTTGGTACCTCAAAAGGTTACAGACAATAATAACCACAAGAAAACATACAAGATATATTTTAGGTATATTTTAATGTTAATACTTTACTGGTAAAACTACTTTTTCTTAACTAAAGTTTTGGATGCAGGCCTTTTACTCTTTTTTTAAAGATCTGAGTACTTCTTCCACCACTGCCCTACACTAATGCATCACAAGCAGACACACAGTACAGGTTTGTGCAGATAATATGCATGTGAAACAATTATACCTTGACCCTGCTTACCAGTTATGTAGCTTAAAGGTATTTTACGGAAAAATCAATTCACCAAAAACACATGAAAAACTGTTTCTGTAACTCCTGATTCACAAACTTCATGGACAAAATAAAAAAATTACTATAGTTTATAACTTTACTTTGTTTTTTTTTTAAATTCTATTTCAATTTGTTAAACTAAACGACCAATCAAAAATAATAATAATAAAAGAAATCTTCTCAAAAGAAATTTAGAAAACTACTTGAAATATGTCCAGAAGCCAGAATGAAAACATCTTACTGTCATATAAAAGTCAAAAACTAAGGGTAACAAGTGTATTTCGGCGTTCACTTACTTATAAATGTTGCATCCCTCCGTGTAGCAGCAGCAGCAGCAGCAGGTTGCTTATCCGACTGCAGCGACCCTCAGGTGACAGCAGACAGCGGCCCGCCCACATACAGGTTTCACCCAATAAGTGCTCTTAGTGAGAGTTCTGAGGACTCCTATTGGCTCATCAGATAAAAATCACCACCACTAATCTCCCTGAAGACTGTCAGGTACTGAGGGGAGAATATAAACAAACAGACGGTGGACTCAGGGAGGATAATCAATCTAATCCTCTTGACATCAATGTATAACTAAAAGAAAAACACAAAATGGGCACCAGTGAATGCTTCTGTTTAAAAATTACTGTATTTAATTGTGTTTTTTTCTAGTATTTTTGTCAGTATTTGCTGTTATATGCACACAGAATAGTGGATATGTCTGACAACAGTGGTATAAGAAGTATTCAGATGTTTTAGTAACAGTTGTAATACTGAAATGTTAAAAACACTCAAGTACAAGCAATCAAAATCTTACTTAAGAAGAAATATATAAGCATTAAGATCAAGTTGTACTAATAATATCAAAAGTAAATGTAATTAGCAGAATGGCACTACTCAACTTCAAATTTATATTTTAAGATTATTTTTATTGTTACCGATCAATAAGCAGCATTTCCATGTAATTGGTAGAGGAATTTAGGATTAGAATTTAAAATACTGTATATGTTGTTAGATAATTTAATTTATAACATTATATTTTATAAACTGATCACCTGTTACTATACCTGTCAAATAAATGTAGTGGAATAATAAATGCAACATTTATCTCTCTAAAAGGTTGTAAATGTGAAGTCTGAAGTAACAATGAAATATAAAAGAAATAGTATAATCTTTAACATTAGAGTCACATCTGCCCACCTGCTGTCTACTGACCACAGACTGTATTTAGGTCAGCTGTGCACCATACTGACCTGCACACTGGTCAATGCGTGCACTGGGCTAATCTGACCTCCTGGCCAGCTGTCTGTGATGGATTACAGAAGTTTAAAGAAAACAAACAGCTGTTAACTTCACTGAAACTACAATAATGACATATTTATGATTATGTGTTGGGTTACTCAAAAAAATACTGTTCTGTTATAGACTAATAAATCTGAAACCTCACAACACACGTTAACACAATCAATGAGACTGTTGTATCTTTACATGGTATCTATAATACTGTACTGTGTAATAGAGTTCAGTTTAATTATGTTAATGTATAAAAAACACCACAACTCAGTTTTTTTGGTTGTTTCAAAACCTTTGATACACAAAACTATTGAGGCATTCACATAAAAACTAAACCTCCAGGTCACACAATGTAAAGTATACATACTGGAAGTTCACTAGATGACCATTAGATGTCAGCAATGTCTTAGTGGGGAACAGGATAAGGAGCAGGTTTGTCTGGTCAGTGAATGAGACCATATGAATGCACATATGGACAGCTGACTAATGTTCACTGAGCTTTGCTCTGTGTAGAAACCAACACTAAAGATAGATACAGTTAAGCCAGATTATTTGGATGATCTAGCATAATATTTTGAAGCCTGAGCATTTTTAATATTCAGAAACTATTTTCTGTATATAATCTGCACTGGAGTGTGTTCTAGTGTTTTTACACATAGATGACTTTTATATGATGCTAATATATTGAGATTGAATTAGGAAACTATAACTCTCCTAGTAAATCTGCCTATAATTCAGTGAAAAGGAGAAACATCTTACTAAAATATTTTTTAAATTTAACAAATCTCTTAATCATGTTCAATTAATGGAGTCAGAGTGGGCAGCTATGGGTGAAATGTGCTTTATGTTAACAATAGAGACACTAGTTCTTGTGCTAATACAGATATTTGAGCTAACTGAGAGTCAACAAAAGCAACTTAACCATTAAAATTATCCACAGATAGTGGATTTTTCTGTTTATTACTCTTATTTTCTCTCAAATGAATAAGCAAAGCAAGCAGGTATCTAAGTAAATAAGCAAACTGGCAAACAAGTGAGGATAAAGTAGCATATACAGAAATATAGGTACGGAAATATGCAATTAAGAAATCCAGAAAACATGTTTAATAAGCAGCAAACAAGCAAACTATTAACAAACTAAACTCTGCCTCTACATCAGTTTCTTCCCAAGTTGTGTTTAATGAAATGAGCCAATGAGATTAAAAACTAACAGAAGAAAATCTATCTCTGTCTCTCTACCAATCTGTCTGCAGACTTTTGACACAAGAGCCAGGTGTCAGGTGTAAGAATGTGCGTGCATGGGTGAGGCAGGGTGGGAGGGTTGAGATGAGCTGAGATGAGGGTGCAAACAGACAGAGCCATTCATAACTTTACATTCAGCCCCTCTGCTGCCATTCAAGGTCTACCTCCTGACCACCATGCGCCATTGTCAGACTGCGTTAAAACTGCTGACTCAACTGGCAAAGGCATTTAAAAAAAAAAAAAGGAGCAGTATTTTAGCTCCTGAGCATCATCACCCATCATCAGCGGAGCAGCAGCAGCAGCATCACACCCGGGAGCGTCTGCCCTCTGATGCCCCGGCTCCGTCCGTCTGCTGGTCCGCACTGCTGCTGCTGGCGTCGGGGCGCAGGGAGGAGGGGGAGGAAGAGGAGGAGGGGGAGGAAGGGTGGATGAGGGGGGTAGGTAGGTGGGAGAAGAGAGGAGAGAAGAGGAGAGGAGGAGGGAGGTGGGGGGGGGGGCTCGGCCGGGCTGCCCTATATGGCTGTGGATGAGCTCTATGCTAATATCGGCTTGAGAGGCACAGCATCGCGTTTCTGCCGGCAGTCAGTGGTGGCTTCCAGAGTCTGAGCAGGCTCCTTCACAGCCATGGCTGAGGGCGGAGAAGGGGAAGATGAGATCCAGTTCTTGAGAACTGTAAGTAAAAGATAAATTCATCGGTGCCGGTTGAGCCGTTTCAAATAGCGTGCGCTCCAGTTTTCCTGTCGCCAATTAACGCTTTCAGAGGCAGCAGGCTGCGCGTCAATTAAGCAAATCAGCGATGCAACTTGGATTATTGGGGAAGTTTGTGGGTAAGGGGCGGGGGTGGGGGGTTGATCATCTTGGCTTTGCTTTGTGCATGAATGATGATTTTTTTTGGGAAGTTGCCGCAGGTTGCACGCTGCACCCCGCGGCCACGGCGCACCTGTCGAAAGGACTCTTGATGTGGGGAATCTCAATGAGACTCTCGTCTGCCTGGTGCAAGGGCAAAATAAGTCTCTCTTGCCATTTCACAACACAACCCCATCTCATTTTTTTGTTTCGTTTTCTGATCTGTCTGTATTTCTCGGGAACGCCTTTGTGCACAGACATGCTTTTTTTATTCTCACGCCCCTTTGAAATCATCAGCCAGTGCTATTTGTTTGACTTTTTATGGATGTATTCTCCTCCTTGGGGAGAGGAGTTTCAGTAAGTTGTGCTCACACGCAATACGCCCTCTGCGATGGACTATTTTAGTTGTTTGACGCAGATTGCTTACGGTGTCCCTGCTCTGTGTGGTTATGCACAGCAGTTATCCTTGTAAATGATATGACAGCTTGTATGTTGGTGTGGTGGGAATATCTGTCCCGGTGGTTTGCGCACGTATTCTTCTCTTGCCTCATGGAGCTTTGTGACCCAGGTGTTGCATCAAGAGCAATAAGACACAGGGCAACATGCTCAGCGGGGATGTTTTCTTGGTTCTGTGCCACCTGCTTCTGAATAAGACATTTATTTTTACCCTGAGAGCCATTAGTCTAATGACTTTTGTTGATTTGAACTCTGCAGATATTTCTGCTCATGGAGAGGTACAACTGTGGAAATGTACCCTTTTGATTTGAATCATCTAATATCTTTTAATTTGTATGATTTCTGGTGTTATTGAACTTTGAACCATCTATAGGACCCATAGAGTTCTCTTGGCCCCACTTACAATCATGGATTTTGAAACTTTTATGTTTCTCATATTCACTGTTGCTGTCTAAATAACAGGACTATATCACTGGTTTTGCATATTTATTATGAATCAGAATCAGGTGTATTGCCAAGTTTCACACACAATTTGCCTTGGTGTTTAGGTACATAACAATAAACATAGCCCGGAACGAAATATAAAGAAAGATAAAAAAGCAAGTACTGCAGGTGAAGAAGAATAAATAGAAAATTGACAATAAAATAATAAAATAAAGAGCTGTTGTGCAGAAATGTGCAAAATACAAACTAATTACTCTTACTTTCTATGAAAAACAACAATGCTGCCATGATTTAGAAATGGGGATTTACATAATTTCCCAGGCAAATACCTGATTTCCATTCATTTCTGTACAATATAATCAGAACTTGCTTGAGTTAATCCATCACAGTTGACATTGAGTTGCACTGTTGCGGTGAGGTCATGCATTGCTGACATATTCTGTACTTAAACAGCATTACCACGATAACATTGACCAAAAATGTCAACAAACACCTGTTAACTGTGATGGATTACACAACCCAAGCCAAGTTTCAAGAGTGCGCGAATAGGTTTCCATCCTGTATGAAAATAAATGGATCCTACATTTCCCATAATGCAACTTGATAGTGTCTCTCATTAGAAACCCCCTTGCCTGGAAGAAGCCCACATCTTTCAAACTCCACACAGCTTAAATTACTTTGTTTTGGTTTTCCATTGACGTCCATTTGGCTCAGCTGAAAATCTAACAGTAACCCTTTAATGGCTTTGAGATGTTGATATATACAGTATAATTAATCTATATGTAATCCCCCGAAGGCCTCGGCTTGTTGTAAGCAGCAGGAGGGACGCTGTACTTAACAGCTCCTACTATTTGTGATGCCAGTGATATGCTGACCCATGCCTCTCAGATTCTACTGTCACAGTGGCATCCTGGTTATGTGATGACTACAGCGATTTGAGAGGGGGGCTTCCCCTGGGGTCCACAGAGCCTTATTATCAAACTTCACTGGTGAGAGAAAAGTGCCCTCTCAGGAAGCCTTAAATAAGAGTGCTAATTGAAATACATTACATTACAATCTGTTGAACATAGAATAA